CCTGCCTCAGCCTCCCGAGTAGCTGGCTAATAATTTTTGTATTATTATTATTATTATTATTATTATTTTTAGTAGAGACAGCGTTTTGCCATGTTGGCCAGGGTGGTCTGAGACTGCTGACCTCGTGATCCGCCCACCTCGCCCTCCCAAAGTGCTGGAATTACAGGTGTGAGCCACCGTGCCTGGCCCAGCCTGTACTTTTAACTCACAGCTGTGATAATTGTCAACCTCAGCAAGCCTCTTTGGGCATTAGTCCCATATATATGTTATATATTAAATAATATATATAAATTATATATAATAATATATAATATACTATATAATAGATCATATGTGTTATTTATAATATATTATGTAATTATACAATATATAAACTATATGTCAATATTATATAATTATTAATATGTAATTATATATTATATAATTATATAATTTATGTATATAATTATATGTAAATAAATATAAATATATATTTATAATTATATAATTATATGTAAATAAATATAAATATATATTTCTAATTATATTTTTATATATTATATAATATATTATATATAACATATTTTATATATAATATATCCTATATAATATATATGGGAGTAATAACATATAATATTTTGTGTGTGTGTGTGTGTACTTAGACAGTCTCTTTGCTCTGTCCCCCAGGCTGGAGTGCAGTGGCACGATTGAGCTCACTACAGACTTGACTTCTTGAGCTCAAGCAATCCTCTCACCTCAGCATCCCAAGTAGCTGGGACTACAGGTGTGCACCATCATGCCGGCTGTTTTTTAAATTTTGTGTAGAGATGGGGTCTAGCTATGTTGCTTGGGCTCATCTCGAGCTCCTGGGATCAAACGATCCTCCCTCCTTGGTCTCTCAAAATGCTGGGATTACAGGCATGAGATACCGAGGGCAGCTTGGTCCTATTTTTTGAGACCCCTTGATTGGATGTTTCAAGGGAGCATATTCTGGCTGAGTTTACTGGAGAATTTTCTTGTAGAGCTTGTTATGAACTGAATGTTCATGTTCCTCCCAAATTCATATGTTTAAATTTATTCCCCAATATGATCATATATGGTGGGGCCTTTTGGGAGGTAATTAGGTCACAGGGCAGAACCCCCATTTATGGGATTAGTGCCCTTCTAAGAAGAGACCAGGCTGGACATGATGGCTCATGCCTGTAATCCCAGCACTTTGGGAGGCTAAGGCAGGCGAATCACCTGAGGTCGGGAGTTTGAGACCAGCCTGACCAACATGGAGAAACCCTGTCTCTACTAAAAAATACGAAAAATTAGCTGGGTGTGGTGGTGCATGCCTGTAATCCCAAGTACTCAGGAGGCTGAGGCAGGAGAATCACTTGAACCCAGGAGGCGGAGGTTGCGGTGAGCTGAGATCGCACTATTGCACTCCAGCCTGGGCAACAAGAGCGAGACTCCATCCAAACAAACAAACAAACACCAGACAGCTAGTTTGCTCTCTATCTGTCATGTGAAAATATAAGAAGCCAGCCATCTGCCACTCAGAAGACGACCTTCACCAGACCCTACCCATGCTGGCGCCCTGATCTCAGTGTTGTTCTAGTAATTTATTATATCTGCCCAAACCAACTAAGACAAATAGCCACATCTTCAAAGCCTTCTGCCTGTTAGGACTTTTGTAGAGGGGAGAGAGTGTGAGTATGAGGTTGGACCTGATTATTTTAGAAACTCCTTCCAACCTTAGGTGTCTATAAATTCCTTAAGGGCAGATTTTGTATATTTGAATTGTCACCCTTCAGAGGAGATGCTTAGGAAATGTTAAAGATACTAAAGGAGCAAAGCCCCAGGACCTAGACAGTACGGGGACTGCTTTGGATGTTCTCATTTGATCGTTGTGGGCTGGGCTGTGGCAGACTCTTACACTCTCTGAGCCTCTGTTTTCTCATCGGTAAAAATGCAGAGTAATAATACCAGCCCTTTGGGAAGCCGAGGTGGGTGGATCACGAGGACAGGAGTTCGAGACCAGCCTGACCAACATGGTGAAACCCCGTCTCTACTAAAAATACAAAAATTAGCCGGGCATAGTGTCACGTGCCTGTAATCTCAACTACTCAGGAGGCTGAGGCAGGAGAATCGCTTGAACCTGGGAGGCGGAGGTTGCAGTGAGCCGAGATCGCACCACTACACTCCAGTCTGGGTGACAGAGTGAGACTCTGTCTCAAAAAAAACGAAAAGAAAAGAAAAAAAAATTGCAGAGTAAATAGTCCCCGCCCTCCTTCCCCCACAGATTTGCTGAGACAACAACATAAATTGATTGAAGTGTATACATTGCAAATAAGCAATGTTTCCTTTTGCCAGCTTTCAATCTTGCTTTCCAAGTTGCTTGCCTTATCCACTTATAGACAGAATAAGAAAAGACCTATGGAAAGAGTACAGTCTGTGGGGTCTGACAGCCCTGGATTTGAATCCCTAAATAGCACCAGCCACTTGTGTGACCCCAGCCAAGTAGGGTATCCTTTCTGGACCTCAGCACTAAAAATAGCTCCCTTGCCTGGATCTTAGGAGGTAAGCTTGGAGTCTAGTTTCTGCACTCAGACCTCCATTAGTGGTGGCCTTTTAAATGTATCTTTTCTGTATTCTCTGTTAACCCCATACACTCTTTTGCTTATTTATTCATTAAAAAAAAATTTCTAAAAACTTTTTTTTGAGACAGGGTCTTGCTGTCTCTCCCAGGCTGGAGTGATCATAGATTACTGCAATCTCGACCTGGCTGGACTTAAGCGATCCTCTTGCCTCAGTCTCCTGAGTAGCTGTGACTACAGGTTTGTGCCATCCTGCCCAGCTAATTTAGGTATTTTTTCCAAGAGACAGAGTTTCCCTGTGTTGCCCAGGCTGGCCTTAAACTCCTGGGCTCAAGCGATCCATCTGCTTCGGCCTCCCAAAGTAGTGGGATTACAGCTGTGAGCCACTGCACGTCCTCCATGCAGTCGTAACACTATGGGGCAGCCACGCTGGGCAGCTTTTGTGTTGTCAGGGAGCCACTCTTCCTCGGCCCCTGGGCACCTCTGCTGCAAACTGCCTGACTGTCTGGCATGCTGGAAATCAGCTCCGTTTGTGTTGCCCTGAAGATGTGTTTGATTTATAACTCATTCTGACTCTGTAGAAAATAATTCAATAAAAACTCAATTGGTTTTCCATTAGCCCTGAGCAGGGATGAGGGATAGTATCTTCTTTTATAAAACATGTGAATAATAAAACAGCCCTGGTCACACAGCCCAGAGTGGGTAAGTGCCTGCTGGCTGAAAGGAAAAGCGCTGGTTCAGATCACTTCTCCCTTGCTGCTGTATGTGCTGAGAGAACCACTCCTGTCCTCTTTACTTTGCCTTTTAAGTTTTTTTTTTTTTTTTTGAAAGGGAGTCTCTCTGTCGCCCAGGCTGAAGTGCAGTGGCACGATCTCAGTTTACTGCAGCCCCCGCGTCCCAGGTTCAAGCGATTCTCCTGCCTCAGACTCCCCAGTAGCTGGGATTACAGGCACCTACCACCATGCCTAACTAATTTTGTATTTTTAATGGAGACGGGGTTTCACAATGTTGCCCGGACTGGTCTTGAACTCCTGACCTCAGGTGATCCAGCCGCCTTGGCCTCCCAAAGTGCTGAGATTACAGGCGTGAAGCGTGAATCACCACTCCCGGCCCTTTTTAGTTTTTTTTTTTTTTTTTTTTTTTTTGGAGATAGAGTTTTGCTCTTATTGCCCAGGCTGGAGCAATGGTGTGATCTCGGCTGACCGCAACCTCTGTTTCCCAGGTTCACGCGATTCTCCTGCCTCAGCCTGCCCAGTAGCTGGGATTACAGGCGCGCGCCACCATGTCTGGCTAATTTTGTATTTTTAGTAGAGACCGGGTTTCACCACGTTGGCCAGGCTGGCCTCGAACTCCTAACCTCAAGTGATCCACCCGCCTCGGCCTCCCAAAGTGTTGGGATTACAGGCGTGAGCCACTGCGCCTGGTCAGGATTTTTTAATTGAAAAAGAAATACATGTACATGCTAAAAGATTCAAACAGAACATTAAACCTACAAAACGGAGAACGGCTCTGTTTTCCATCTTCGCTGAGGATGCCACTGTTAATTCATGTGCTGGGCGTCTTATGTCTGTAAGCCTCCCCCATCTCCAGCTTTATTTTATTGTTTTGGAACCCAGAGGGTTTTAAATCCTTAAATGGCTTCTGCCCGCACTTAGCAAGCTTGGCGCCTTGGCACTGAACTAACTAACGACAGCTGTCCTAGCCCCTGTCGCCTCTTTGGAACCTTTTATGTGGATGGATTGTTGGGGCCCTCAAAGTCGGGAGTGCCATGGTGCCAGCTGAGGATCAAGACCGCGCGCCACACAAGGGGCAGCCGACCCAGGCTGGGGCTCGCACCTCACGCGCCTCCCGGGCCCTGCGATTCTAGAAGCGCTCCCAGGCCGCTCGCGCCACGGTCACCCAACCTGAAAAGGGGGGTCACGACCGTGGGGGTCATGTGGGGTGCCGGGGGTATCCACAGTGGGCTTCCGCGGGGCCTCCACCTCGGAGCTTCACAGAGGAAGTGAAGTTTGAGCTGCGCGCCCTGAGGGACTGGTAAGCGGCGGAGACAGGACTAGGCCTTCTTCCAGCTGCGCCGCCCCAGGTGCAGAAACTTTCCTCCCAGTCTCCGCTCTCTTGCCCGTCCCTCTCTGCCTCCTCCCTCCTTCTCCCTCCTCCTCCTCCTCCCTCCTTCTTTCTCCCCTCCTTTTTCTCTCCCTCCTCCTCCCTCTCTTCTCCTCCTCCCTCTCCCTGTCCCCTCCCTCCCTGTCCCCGATTCTCTCGCGATGCCCCTCCCTCCTTCTTTCACCCCTCCTCCTCCTCCTCCCTCCCTCTGTCTCCTTCCTCCCTGTCCCTGCTTCTCTCCCTCGCTCCACCTCCCTTCTTCTTTCATCCCTTCTTTTTCTCTCCCTCCTCCTCCCGCTCCCCTCCTCCTCCTTCCCCCTGTCCCTTCCATCCCCCTGTCCTCTCTTCTCTCCCTAGCTCCTCCTCCCTCCTTTCTACCTCGCTCCTGCCCCCTGGCTTCCCTCGCATCTCTCGCAAAACCCGGGACGGATCACGGGCCCGGGCCCGGCCTCCGCGCAGGCGCAGGAGCAGCGCCGGCTCGGCCGCTAGTCGGAAGCGCCAGCCCCGAGCCGGGGAAGTGGCCGCAGAGGCTGCTCGGTCCCGCTGCCCGCCAGGTCGTGGGCTCCCGCTCCGGGCCCGGGGCCACCGGCTGTGTAAGTGCAAAGCGGGGGGACTCCCAGTCAGGCAATTCGGGCCGGCTGCGGGGAGGGCTGGCTGCGCGGCTGGCCGCGGAGTCGGCGCGTCCCGCGGAGGGGCTCGCCCGGTCCTCACCTGTCCGGGCCGAGCCCACCACACCTGTCCGGGTCCGCTGCCCGGCTGGGGTTCAGCTTGCACCTGCTCGAGGCGCCCTCGCTCCTGTTGGCGCTCTGCTTACACCTGTCCAAGGCCGTGTCCACACCCGCTGAAGACCCGGCGGACACCTGTCCGGGACCCGGCCCACACCTGCTGCCCGGGCCGGCTCTGCTGTCCCGAGCCCGCGGCGGGGTCCCCTTCCCCTCTGCGCCTCCGAGCTGTCGCCGCCTGACTCCCCTTCCTGGGCCGTCCGCGACGCTGGAGCCCCCCGCCCCTGGGCCTGGCTACGCCCCCTGGAGCCCGCGGGGTCTGGGACACGCGGCTGGGGCCTGGGGACCTGCACAGCCCACGTCCCTGGCGCTTTCCCCGCCCTGCGATCCCGGGCTTCTCCTCTAGCCCTTTCCCTCCTGTCTCGTGGATTCAAAGTGCCTCCGATCTAGCTGGGCGGCATCAGGCGGTACTCTGTGGGATAAGCGCGCTGTCAACTCCAACTTATCCCAGGGAAGCGTGGGGAGAGGAAATTAGCCTGCTGGCCTGTGGTCTTCTCCCTGTCAGCCCACCCCACGCCCCTCCACCCCTACGGACCTTCCCAACGTGAATGTCTGTTAACCGAAAGTTTTCCCGTGTTAGGATGCATTGTCTGTCTTCAAATGTTTTTATAGAGAGAGGAATTAAAACGTTGGAAGCAAGGCCCAGTTGGAAGGTGTGGGGGAGTGACATCCCTTCCATCCCCCACGGCCCTAGTTTAAACTGGTGACTGTCCAGTGTTTCTAAGGTAGTCATAGCTACCTATGACATCTTTATTTGTTAACATGAAACAGAGCATCGGATGAATGGTATTGGAAGTCCAGGAACATTGCCGTCTTAAAGATCTGGCTAGGTTTTGTTGTGTGTGTTTGTTCGTTTTTTTTTTTTTAATTGTGTGGAAGACCAGTAGTGTAGAGGGAAAAATAGTTGTCTGGAAACATGTAAACAGTGAATGTTTCAGAAATCTAGTGTGTCAAAAATAACAGCTTCATTGAGCCTCGATTACCTGCCATAAAATCCACTGCTTTGAAGTGTACAATTCAGTGACTTTTTTTTTTTTTTTTTTTTTTTTTTGAGACGGAGTCTCTCACTGTCGTCCGGGCTGGAGTGCAATGGCGCCATCTCGGCTCACTGCAACCTCCGCCTCCCGGGTTCAAGCGATTCTCCTGCCTCAGCCTCCCGAGTAGCTGGGATTACAGGCTCATGCCACCATGCTCGGCTAATTTTTTTTTGTATTTTTAGTAGAGACGGGGTTTCACTATTGGCCAGGCTGATCGCTAACTCCTGACCTCGTGATCCACTTGCCTTGGCCTCTCAAAGTTTTGGGATTATAGGCGTGAGCCACCCAGCCCAGCCAATTCAGTGATTTTTAATATATTCACACTTGTGTAACCATTGTCATTCCAGAACATTTTCATCACCCCAGAAAGAAACTCCATACCCATTAGCAGTCACTCCTCATTTCCCCCTCCCACAGTCCCTGGTAGCCACAAATTTACTTTCCATATATATAGATTTGCATATTCAGGGCATTTAATATTAATGGCATCATACAACATGTGACCTGTTGTATTTGGCTTCTTTCACTCAGCACGATGCTTTCAGAAGTTTTTCATGTTGTGGCTTACATCAGCACTTTGTTCCTTTTGTGGCTGAATAATATCCCATTGTATGGATTTAACATTTTGTGTATCAGGCAGTTGATGGACATTTGTGTTGTTTTCACTCCTTAGCTACTAAGAATAATGCGTGCCTGGCCAGGCGTGGTGGCTCACGCCTATAATGCCAGCACTTTGGGAGGCCGAGGCGGTGGATCACGAGGTCAAGAGATCAAGACCATCCCGGCCAACATGGTGAAACTCCCTCTCTACTAAAAATACAAAAATTAGCTGGGTGTGGTGGCGGGCGCCTGTAGTCCCAGGTACTCGGGAGGCTGAAGCAGTAGAATCCCTTGAACCTGGGAGGCGAAGTTTACAGTGAGCCGAGATCGCGCCACTGTACTCCAGCCTGGCGACAGAGTGAGAAAACAAACAAACAAGAATAATGCTGTGCCTGTAATCCCAGCACTTTGGGAGGCTGAGGCAGGTGGGATCACTTGAGGTCATGAGTTCAAGACCAGCCTGGACAACATGGCGAAACCCCATCTCCACTAAAAATACAAAAATTTGCCGAGCATGGTGGCTCATGCCTGTAGTCCCAGCTTCCCAGGAGGCTGAGGCATGAGAATGGCTTGAACCTGGGAGGTGGAGGTTGAGGTGAGCTGAAATCCTGCCACTGCACTCCAGCCTGGGTGACAGAGCAAAACTCCGTCTCAAGAAAAGGGGAATAATGCTGCTATGTACATTCCCGTACAAGTTTTTGGTGTGGACACATGTTTTCAGATCTCTTGGATTGCTGGTTTTATGGTAGCTCTATGGAGGAACTACCAAGTTGAAGATATATATTTTTGCTATTTTAATACCTGTATTACCTTAGTCTCAGATACCAGAATTGGCTCAGTAGCTGGCGTCTTTTTTTTTTTTTTTTTTTTTGAGGCGGAGTCTCCCCCTGTCACCCAGGGTGGAGTGCAGTGACCAGATCTCAGCTCACTGTAAGCTCCGCCTCCCGGGTTCACGCCATTCTCCTGCCTCAGCCTCCCGAGTAGCTGGGACTACAGGCGCCTGCCACCTCGCCCGGCTAATTTTTTGTATTTTTTAGTAGAGACGGGGTTTCACCATGTTAGCCGGGATGGTCTCGATCTCCTAACCTCGTGATCCGCCCGTCTCGGCCTCCCAAAGTGCTGGGATTACAGGCTTGAGCCACCGCGCCCGGCCCTTTTTTTTTTTTTGTTAAGAGTCTTATTCTATCACTCAGGCTGGAGTGCAGTAGTGTGATCTCAGTTCACTGTAACCTCCTCCTCCCTGGGTTCAAGCTATTCCTGTGCCTCAGCCTCCCAAGTAGCTGGAATTACAGGTGTATGTCACCATGCCTGGCTAATTTTTGTATTTTTAGTAGAGAAAGGGTTTTGCCATGTTGGCCAGGCTGGTCTGAAACTCCTGATGTCCTCAGGCAATCCACTCGACTTGGCCTCCCAAAGTGCTGAGATCACAGGTGTGAGGTCAGGTTTTTTTTTTTTTTTTTGAGAGGGGAGTCTCACTCTTATCGCCCAGGCTGGCTCAGCTCACTGCAACCCCCACCTCCTGGGTTCAAGCGATTCTCCTGCCTCAGCCTCCTGAGTAGCTGGGATTACAGGCATGCACCCCCACGCCTGGCTAATTTTTTTGTATTTTTATTAGAGACAGGGTTTTTCCATGTTGGTCAGGCTGGTCTCCAACTCCTGACCTCAAGTGATCTGCCTGCCTCGGCCTCCCAAAGTGCTGGGATTACAGGTGTGAGCCACCGCACCTGGCTGATTATGCTGCTTTTTAGATGAGATGATACTTTTTATTTTTAAATTATTTTTATTTATTTATTTTTTTGAGACGGAGTCTCACTCTGTTGCCCAGGCTAGAGTGCAATGGTGTGATCTTGACTCACTGCCTCTTCCACTTCCTGAGTTCAAGCAATTCTTCTGCCTCAGCCTCCAGAGTAGCTGGGACTACAGGTGTGTGCCACCACTCCTGGCTAATTTTTGTATTTTTAGTAGAGATCGGGTTTTGCCATGTTGACCAGGCTGGTCTCGAACTCCTGACCTCAAATGATCCTCCCACCTCGGCCTCCCAAATTACAACTGTGAGCCACCATGTCTGGCCGAGATGATACTTTAAAATACGGCCCTTTCTTCATCTGCGGTGGGCCGCACTCTCCTTCTCTGTAGAATGAAGGCTTCAGTGTTTCTCAACTTCTGTTAAACCCATGCCTACTTTTGAGAAACATGCCCTCTCCAGTCTCCCCTGCTCAGTATTTTGATATGTCCTCTGAGGGGTGTTATGCCTCTTTGTTGGAAGATGATGTGATTTTGGTTCTTTCCAAGGTGGTTTTTGTGTGCAGAAAAGACTCTAGGGAATCGTTGTGGGGAAAGGGCAGGAGAGAGTGGGGCATCGTCCTTGAGAGCGTGAGCACTGGAGTTGGGGACTTGGGCCGAGTCATACACATATAATATACTTGTGAACCGTTTAGATCCTGGGCAGAAACAAGACATGTTGGGAGGCTAGGGTTTCCTTTTCTTTAAATATAATTTTGTCCATACTCCCCTATCCATGTGCATTTTTGAAGTTTGTAGTGGTGGGGTTGCGGTGTACAGTCCATTGTGGGATCTGCATAGTCAGAGTGGGATAGCCCCCAACACGCAGTCCTCCTGTCAGCGCAGGGTGAGAGGCTTGCCATTAGAATTTCACAGAGGTCTTGTGGCTATGTCATTGTAATCTTAGTGTCTCACCTGGGAGGGTTACTGCCACGATCTCTGCAGTCAGGCTTTGGTGACCTGAAGGTCATGCAGTTTTGGGCTTCCTATTTAAGAAAAAGAAAACAAAATTAAAAATGCAAAATTAGTCGGGTGCGGTGGCTCACGCCTGTAATCCCAGCACTTTGGGAGGCTGAGGCGGGTGGATCAGAAGGTCAAGAGATCGAGACCATCCTGGGTAACTCAGTGAAACGCTGTCTCTACTAAAAATACACAAAATTAGCCGGGCGTGGTGGCGGGCACCTGTAGTCCCCAGCTACTTGGGAGGCTGAGGCAGGAGAATGGCATGAACCCGGGAGGCGGAGCTTGCAGTAAGCCGAGATCACGCCACTGCACTCTAGCCTGGGCGACAGAGTAAGACTCCGTCTCAAAAAAAAAAAAGCAAAATTAGATAGAGGGCCATGGAAGGGGCCTGAAGCTGAACCCCATTAGCTCATGGTACAGCTGCCTCTGGCCATAGGGACCATGGCCAAATCCCCTGAGGAAGTGTGAGCCTGCTGATGGGGAGAGTGGAGGTGTGTGTCGAGACATCTTATTTGATATAGAGAGCTCATTTAATCCCCCTCATCTTTAAACAAATTAGACTTTTTATTTGAGACTATAGTAGTTGTAGCTCCATGTGCATTTGTCAGAAATAATACCGAGAGATCCTATATACCTTTTGCCCAATTTCCCCCCGTGGTGCCATCTTACAAAACCACGGTACTTTATCACAACCAGAATGTTGACTCGCTGACACCTTGAGGTATGTGTTACTATCCTCATTTTTATTCACGATGGAACTGGGGTTCAGGGAGGTGCACAGGCTTGCTCCAGGTCACCCAGGTCATGCGTGTAGAGCTGGGAGTTGAATATCAGCCCTGACTTCCAGGCACTGGGGTTTCCATCCTGACCGTCAGTGGGCTGGGGCGAGCATTCATTCCATTGTCCATTTGCTTGTTTGTTCACTAATTCCTTCAACAAACATGTATTGAAGATCTCCTATGAGCCAGATTCTTTCATGTGGGTCATCTAATTTAATTTTTCCCCAGCTCTGGGGAATCAGGTAATAACGTTTTCTTTTTATATCCGACAAAATTGGCTCAGAGAGGTTATGGCAACTCTCCTGTTTATAAAGGAGCGGTGGTATATTTGAGTAATCTCTCCTTTTATGTTAGGCACAATGCTAGGCCCTTTACATTTGCAACCTCCTCAATCTAAATATAGTTTTATCAGGTAAGTTCTTTTTCTTTTAATTCTTTTTTTTTTTTTTGAGATGGAGTCTGGCTCTGTTGCCCAGGCTGGAGCGCAGTGGCGGGATCTCGGCTCACTGCAAGCTCTGCCTCCCGGGTTCATGTCATTCTCTTGTCTCAGCTTCCCAAGTATCTGGGACTACAGGCGCCTGCCACCACAGCCAGCTAATTTTTTTGTATTTTTAGTAGAGACAAGGTTTCACCATGTTAGCCAGGATGGTCTCGATCTCTCCTGACCTCATGATCCGCCCGCCTCGGCCTCCCAGAGTGCTGGGATTACAGGCGTGAGTCACTGTGCCCCCCCGCTTTTTTCTTTTTGAGATGGAGTCTCACTCTGTCACCCAGGCTGGAGTGCAGTGGCGCGATCTCAGCCCACTGCAGCTTCCACCTCCCGGGTTCCAGCAATTTTCCTGCCTCAGCCTCCCGGGTAGCTGGGGTTACAGGCACGTGCCACCACGCCTGGCTAATTTTTGTATTTTTAGTACAGGTGGGGTTTCACCATGTTAGCCAGACTGGTCTCAAATTCCTGACATCAAGTGATCCGCGAGCCTTGGCCTCCCAAAGTATTAGGATTACAGGCGTGAGCCACTGTGCCCGGCCAAGACAAGTTCTATTATCACCACTATTTTGTAGCTGAAGAGTTCCAGGGAGCCCGGAATTCAAATCCAGATCTGACTGCATGGTGGATTTTTCTTAATATCCTGTTGAGGGGATGGGGGAGCAATTACACACGTGTTTATTCATTCACTCAACAGATATTTTTGAGCACTGACTCTTACTACTCCTGGTTAGGTGGTGGGAATAGAAAGACAAGAAACAGCCCCATTTCTGCAGAAGCGCCAAGCTGAGGCCGAGGGACTGAAGGTCAACAGTTATAGCATTATGATCAGAGCTGTGACAGTCACGTGTAGAGCCCTAAGACCTGTTGACACTATGGCTTTCCTTGGGGCTTCTCCTGCCTCCGGCTAGTGAAGGTCAGAGTCACTACCTCCCAGAGTGAGCTGTCAGCTTTCAGGACTCTGCGTCTCACAGCCTCATTTCTTCTCTCTGAACAGGGACTTCAAAATGAGCGTCCCTGACTACATGCAGTGTGCTGAGGACCACCAGACGCTGCTCGTGGTGGTCCAGCCTGTGGGCATCGTCTCCGAGGAGAACTTCTTCAGGATCTATAAGAGGATTTGCTCTGTGAGTCAGATCAGCGTGCGGGACTCCCAGCGAGTCCTCTACATCCGCTACAGACACCACTATCCACCTGAGAACAACGAGTGGGGCGACTTCCAGACCCACCGCAAAGTCGTGGGCCTCATCACCATCACAGACTGCTTCTCGGCCAAAGACTGGCCGCAGACCTTCGAGAAGTTCCACGTGCAGAAGGAGATCTATGGCTCCACGCTGTATGACTCCCGGCTCTTTGTCTTCGGGCTGCAGGGGGAGATCGTGGAGCAGCCGCGCACCGACGTGGCCTTCTACCCCAACTACGAGGACTGCCAGACAGTGGAGAAGAGAATCGAGGACTTCATCGAGTCACTGTTCATTGTGCTGGAGTCCAAGCGTCTGGACAGAGCCACAGACAAGTCCGGGGATAAGATCCCCCTTCTCTGTGTCCCGTTTGAGAAAAAGGATTTTGTAGGACTGGACACAGACAGCAGGTAAGTTTACCTAGAGATCCAGGCCCCTTGGCTTCCCTACATCAGAAAGGGAAAGCACATGGCAGAATTTTATTGCAGCAAGGAGTAGAAAGGTGTTGTCCATTGGTTTTTAAAACTAATGACTTTCTGTCAGAATCTGTTTGAGTGCTGCTAAAAAACCAACCAAACAAAAACCAGTGACTTTTAAAGACAGAGACAGCCTTTGGTTTGGGGGAGTCTTTTAGAGTTGTCGTGTACACTCCCCTTTTTTTTAGTGGGGCTCCCCTTGTGGGACTCCTGGAGCTCCGTCCAATACAGCAGCCACAGCCAGTTGTAGCTTTTGAGCACTAGACACGAGGCTAGTTTGAGTTGAGATGGGCTGTGAAGAAAACCCATGCCAGATTTTTAGACTGACTTCTGCAAAAATAAACTTTCTTGCTAATTTTTTTTTTTTTTTTGAGACAGCCTGTCTCTCAGGCTGGAGTGCAGTGGTGCCATCTTGGCTCAGTGCAACCTCTACCTCCTGGGTTCAAGTGATTCTCATGCCCCAGCCTCGCAAGTAGCTGGGACTACAGGCATGTGCCACCATGCCTGGCTAAGTTTTGTATATTTAATAGAGATAGGATCTTGCCACATTGGCCAGGCTGGTCTTGAACTCCTGGCCGCAAGTGATCCGCCTGCCTTGGCCTCCCAAAGTGCTGGGATTACAGGTGTGAACTTCCGTGCCTGGCCAACTTTCTTGCTAATATGTTTTATATAGATTACATGTTGAAATGATAGTATTTTACCTATCTTAGGTTAAATAAACTATATTTTAAAAATCAGTATCAACTGTTTCATTTTTACTTTTATTTTATTTTATTTTATTTTATTTTATTTTATTTTATTTTTTGAGACGGAGTCTTGCTCTGTCACCCGGGCTGGAGTGCAGTGGCCGGATCTCAGCTCACTGCAAGCTCCGCCTCCCGGGTTTACGCCATTCTCCTGCCTCAGCCTCCCGAGTAGCGGGGACTACAGGCGCCCGCCACCTCGCCCGGCTAGTTTTTTGTGTTTTTAGTAGAGACGGAGTTTCACTGTGTTAGCCAGGATGGTCTCGATCTCCTGACCTCGTGATCCGCCCGTCTTGGCCTCCCAAAGTGCTGGGATTACAGGCTTGAGCCACCGTGCCCGGCTCATTTTTACTTTTAAAAATGTGGCAACTAGAAACTGAAATTTACTTATGTGGCTTGCGTTTTACCCTTCTGTTGGACAGCACTGTGCTAGAGCACAGTTTGAACACTTATTCGGTCTCGTCCCTTTGGTTCACAGATGAGAGGGTGAATCTGGAGAGATAAGGGCTAGGTCCTAGCTGAGCTAGAAGCAGAGCCCATGTCTCCTGATTGCCAGGCTGTGCACCTTGCATATGTGGCTACTTTTTCTCTCCTAATGGCCACAGTGTCGAATTCCTTACTTACAGAGCAGCCAAGCGCAGGTATCAGATGCCAGAAATACCACCTGGGAGCTCCTAAACAGCTACCTTATACAAATGGAAAGTATGTCTATTCTCTCTGTGTACAAGGAGTGTTGGATAGAGCAGGAAGAGGTCGGCTTCCCATCTTGCCTGTTATTAAGTCTAAAACTTTATTTCAAATCAGAATTTCAGATGAGCTCTTCCTTTCCACTTCCTTCCACTCTCTGCTCGCTGCTCTGTCTTGCCATGGTGGCTGTTCTGCAGAGCTGGATGAGATGCAAGCCTAGGCAGCAACTGTTTGCCAAGAGGGCGTCCCCATTTGCCAGGGAAAGTGATGTGTCACTGTGTCAGTCACTGGCCTCCTGGCTTGGACAGGGCTCTCCCTCCTCCTGTGTAGGATTGGCTGATGAGGTACAGGTGAGGATTCAGTGATGTCATGTGCATGCCACCACAGTGCCTGCTGCAAAGTAGGTGTTCAGCATGTTTCTAAAATTTATCTAAGGTCAAACGGTGGCTTTCTGGTTGCTGGTAAGTATGAGGAGAAATGATCACAGAATTGAGACACAGTAGTCTAAGTCCAGCCCTCAGAGTTGGAAGCATAGAATAGCCTCAGTCACACTTGACTGTGGTGCTTTGCAGGGTCTGAAAGGAAGGAATTTTCATTTCTTCACCCAAATGTGCATATTTGGCTTCAGGAAAGGGAAAGGCATGCCGTAGACCTGCTCTGTATTTAATCCTCACGGCAGCCCTGTGATCTACGCCAGGTTGCTGTGCTGGCTGATGTGGGGCTGAGGCAGCAAGGTTTAGAGACCTGGGCAGCCACCGAGTAGCAGAGCTGATATAAGCACCAGATCTGTCTCTGAGGCCCAGGACCTTTCTACCTCACCTCGTTGCCTTCTGCTGCGCCTCCTGTGCCTCTTGAAGAGCGCACACTGCTGTCAGCCAGCAGGCACCTGCGGGAGTCATCCCTGATAAGGTGTTGCTCTATGCTATGCACAGCTTGGCGGCCACCTGCGAGGTCGGCAGGGAGTGGCCTGCCCCTGCTTTACAGAGAAGGGGTGAAGGGTTGAAGCTCATAGGCAGCATGGGTCAGGAACCCTGCTCTGACCCCTTGACTCATGCCTGCCTCCTTTGCCACATGAGTACCAGTGACATTTTTCAGTCACCCACTTCTTGGCTGTGAGGTTGCAGATCCACCTTCGAATGCCAGGTCTTTTTTGCCTTTTGAAATCTGTGCTCACAACCCCGCAGGAGGAACGGGAGTGTGCTGCTACGCAGTGCGTCATACATAGTGGATAGTGACTGACAAGTGTTCGTTCAGAGCCTTCATATGCCAGGCATGGCTCCAGGCACTGAAAATACAGTGGCAAATACAGCTGCTTGCTCACTGTAGTGGGACAACCGCAATTAGACGTCAGTTAGCATTTGAAGTTCAGTGAGATCATGACACCAGTGAACTCAAATAAAATACATCCTCCTCTCATAATGGGTAACCTGTTGTTGCTTTTGTTTCTCCATGGTTCTCTAATTTTTTTTTTTTTTTGGAGATGTCGTCTTGCTCTGTCATTCAGGCTGGAGTACAGTGGCGCCGTCTCGGCTCACTGCAACCTCCCCCTCCTGGGCTCAAACGATTCTTCATGCCTCAGCCTCCTGAGTAGCTGGGATTACAGGTGTGTGCCACCACACTTGGCTAATTTTTGTATTTTTAGTAGAGATAGGGTTTCACCATGTTGGCCAGGCTGGTCTCGAACTCCTGACCTCAAGTGATCCGCCTGCCTCAGCCTCCCAAAGTGCTGGGATTACAGGCGTGAGCCACAGTGCCTGGCCGATTCTCTAATTTTTGAAGGAATGATTTGGTGCAGGAGCAGAGCCTTGCTCTCCCCTGCAACTCTTGGTAGGAGTGAGAAGGTGTCCAACCCGGAATGGGATAGTATTTGGTAGCTCAACAGGAAATGTCCAGATGTAAGTCCAGTTATGGTTTGACACACTGACCGTGCTGATAGGCCCCCTGACAGATCATTCTCCCTTCAGGTCCTGGACTTCCTGGGACGTGAGGTGCAGGTGTAGTTTACTTACAAGCTCACATGTGCCCCTCGCAAAAACCCATGGCCCATTCTTGTCCGTGTAGTGTTGTAGCTATCAAAATTATTTCTGTTCTTACATGTTTCTAATTTTTGCTTATTCCTCTTTCTTTTCTTTTTCTTTTTTTCTGTCATACTGCCCTGTGAGTGTGTTATTGGGTGTGAAAAGGTAGGCTGGGAACATGTTGCATTAAAAATAGCTAGATTTCCCTCTGTGCTGCCTTCTCATAGCCTTCACTGCTTTAAAAACAAACACTGCTGCCTAAATCTTATGTTAACTGGAGAGTCTTTTCGTTTTTTTTAAATATGTTTTTTAATTTTAGCTTTTTTTTTTTTTTTTTAGCACGTAACCCATTGGCGTTTGGTGTTTGCTAAAAGACTTGCTCTGGGGGATCTTGTTCAGTCTGTAGCATTTAGTGACACATGAGCCTTTATTCTTTTGTGTGTTTGTTTTGAGGACGTGAATTGCTCATTGATTTAGGCGGCTGTCGGGGGTTTTCCTGGGATAGCTTAACTGCTTGATCCTGGGCTTCTGAGCCAACGTTTTCTGGCATGTGATTCCCGCCTGTGGCCGTGGGCCGTTCATGAAGGCAAGGAGCGCTGGCGCTGGAGTGTGCTAGTGGCCAGGGGAGCTGCGGGAGGGCGCGGCTGCCCGTCTTTTCTTTTGCTTCTGCCTTGAGCATGCCATTTCCCGTTTCCTTCGCCTCAGCGACTTTCCACCATAAAGGAGACATAGGCCATTCTAAAACCCACCAGGCTGGGCGCGGTGGCTCACACCTGTAATCCCAGCACTTTGGAAGGCCGAGGCGGGTGGATCACCTGAGGTCAGGAGTTCGAGACCAGCCTGGCCAACATGGTGAAACCCTGTCTCTACTAAAAATACAAAAATTAGCTGCGTGTGGTGGCATGTGCCTGTAGTCCCAGCTTACTCGAGAGGCTGAGGCAGGAGAATTACTTGAATCCGGGAGGCAGAAGTTGCAGTGAGCCAAGCTCATGCCATTGCACTCTAGCCTGGGCGACAAGAGCGAAACTCCATTTCAAAATAAAAAAACAAAAAAACTCACCCCCGTCTTTTGTGCCCCTTATGAGGGCTCAAGGGCAATTTGTTTAAGTGTCAGGGAAATATGGCCTTCTAGTTCACTTGGATCTTGTAGACACAAGGCCCTGTATAAGTGACCGCTGTTTCCTTTTTGCTTCTGCCAATGAGCATTCAGAACCAGAGAGGCAGTTCACCCGTAGCTAAGATTTTCCATTTAACCTCATGTAGGTAAGACATAGCTGTGTCTGCCCTTTTTTTTTTTTTTTTTTTGAGACAGAGTCTTACTCTCTCACCCAGGCTGGAGTGCAGTAGCACGATCTTGGCTCACTGCAAACTCTGCCTTCTGGGTTGAAGCGATTCTCCTGCTTCACCCTCTCAAGTAGCTGGGATTACAGGCACGTGCCACCACGCCAGGCTAATTTTTGTATTTTTAGTAGAGACAGGTTTCACC